AAGCTCCGGGGAGCCTCTGGGTCTCACCCAGAAAATGGCGTTTCATTACATTCAACGCTTGTTTTTTGCCACACTTCCCTACTCTATTGCGGCTAAAATATGCCACCTACGATTTTTTTTTGTTATTTTTTCCGTGATCAGGGAACAAAAATGAACACTTCTATAAGACGAAAGAATTTTTTGTATTTTTTTTTTTTTTTTTGCGCCTATGGGTGTGAATTCCATTTGGGCCCCTAGCGGTTTGAGGATTAAAATTAACTACAAATTTGCGTGTCTAGCTGTAAAACGGAAGATCCATCAGCTGCGATATTCTCACATCAATTTCTGAAAATTGTGAACGGAAACGTGCCAGTTGATCTGACCTCAGGACAAATTTCATTGCCTCATAACTTCTGCAATTTAGTGACGTCAAAAGAAGAATTGGTTGAAAAAGTATTTCCCAATATTCAAACCAATTATAAGAATCACGATTGGCTGAATGATCGAGCTGTTCTTGAGGCCAAGAACAAAGATGTCTACGAACTTAACAATATTATTCAGTCTAACATTCAAAGCGAGGCTGTCACATATAAGTCCGTCGATACTGTTGAGGAAGCAGAAAAAGTGGTTAATTATCCAACAGAATTGTTGTATTCACTCGATCTGCCTTGCAGTAAAAAAATTAATCAGCAACGTCGTAGAAGCAACAATCTTGACAGGACTTTTCAATGGTGAAGATGTCCTCATTCCTCGCATTACTATGAATCAAACAGATATGCCATTTCAATTTAATAGATTGTAATTTCTAATTCAATTGGCGCTTGCAATCACCATCAATAAAGCTCAGGACCAATCTTTAGAATTGTGCACTTTATATCTAGACATGGATTGCTTCTCACATGGACAATTTTATGTTGCGTGTTCTCGAGTCGGCAATGTCGGAAAATCCGACACCATTTAATAATATCATACAGACAGATAATATTGCTGTGTTGTATAAACAAGTTACCCATAGAAAATGTAACTTGTAGTGGAATTCCCGTCTATAGAAAACGGGATATCATTACCACATACTATTATAAATTCACCACCTATTATGGTGGGAATTATTCTTAAATACATTAGTCTTTGGACTTTACCATCATAAAAACATCTCATATAAATTAACTTAATTATCAGAATTAAAATAGAGTAAATGTGACCCTTCTATCACTTACTGTCATCTGGACAATGTAGACCAGTAGCGTCAGTTGTGAGGGAGTGGTCAGCCATTGTTATTGTACTTAGACCAGAGGCACGGGAGCAATTCGGCTCCTGTTAATTTTACTTGGACGAAGTGTTATGGAAACCAAAGGTGTACCATCATCAACACGCTGTCAACAAATACAAGTTAAGTGTTCTGCCGAAACCCATTTATCTATCATTTGTGGCCATTAATGTCATTAGATAGGGTGAGCCGGTTAGATCACGAGATCGCCTCATACTAGAGGTCAAGACGAGGAAGCATGCTTTGTGTACCAGTTACTGGGTGATGGAAGCTACCTCAAAGAGGATAATTTGGTGTCTACATCCTAGTTATACCTGGTGGACTAAGGCCTGCTGTACAATAAGATAAGGAACCTCTTCAATGTATGTAGTCTAATACTGTAGTTTGATTGGCTGCATATATATAAATTTAATATAAACCCCCCTAATGTGTAGAGGATCGATTTGTGAGATTATGAGATTATTGCAGAAATACAGTCCACTTATCATCATACAAATTGCTATCGAAGTATACAAATTAATGTAAATATAAATTCTATATAAATTCATATAAATTAAATAAATATAAATCTCACAGGTCGGTTCCCACAGGCAAACCAGACAATCTCTATATCTCCACAGACAATGGAACAGCAAAAATATTGTATACCCACAAGCTTTGTGAAATTAAGCATATTAGAAATGTGCGCTTTCTCTTTTCTTTCTTTTGCATTTAAACAGACTGAGCCACAGCAACTAGTGGTGGGTACAGCTAGTGATGATTAAAATAAGTAACTGCAATTATTTTGCATTGATAGTATCATAGATGATCCTGAGTGTAATAATTATTATGTACAAGGTTCAGATATCAGTGCACACAATGCTAAATTATGATGTTCATAACACACTGCGGAGGTTTGTGAATCTAAGCATCATGCAACATGACATCATGATCCTTTAGAAAATAATCTTGTGGAAAATTTAAATAAAGATTTAAAAATTTTAACCCTTAAACTGCGCAACGCGCCTGCAGGCTCACGTCTGGTTTGCGCAACGCGCCTCCGGGTATTTGTATTTTTCACGTTCCATTCAAAACTCCCGCGGCTACATGGGGTTCACATCAGCTTCCTCAGGGCTCTTGTAAACAGACGCCATCTTTAAAAAAAATCGTGGTCCACATTCCCAGGTGTGGGAGCCTCAGTAGTGTGTGAGCAACCAAGGCTGGCGCTCGCAGCATGAGCGCACAGCACTGCTGTTCAGCATGTGACCACAGCATCGCCTAATAATGTCAAAATATATATATAACTTGTATTATTTAGCTATGATAGTGTTATATTAGAGCCTGAGTGTGATAATGACTGGGTACAATGTTCAAATATCAGTGACTCAATGCTGTTCACGATGTTCACAGCACTAGTCACAGCACCACAGCATTATTTCGTTCATCTAGGAATCTTCAAATGATTTCTTAGGTTCCTTTTCAAAATAAACGTGTGGTCAATTATTCATTTACAGGAATTAGTGACCAGGAATGTGATAATAGCAGGATTGTGGTTATAATTAGCATTGTGCGTAGTACTGTGGAAGGAGGAATTTTGATGAGGGAGGGAGGGCGAGAATTGAGGTAGCCTCATTGTGTGTGTGGCTGCCACTCTTGTTTTGCTCTCCATACTAGCTTAGTGGTTCGCTATGGGCAACACATATGTACATGGGAATATATAGTGTGTGTATATAGTGTAAGAACAGCAACAGGAGAATGTTGAGAGGAGCTATTTTGGCGAGGGAGGTGACGTAATCGTAGCGTCGTCTGCTGTGTGATTTTTCATGCAGTGTATGGTGGCCACTGTACTGTTTGGACACAATACCGGCTTACTTGCATAGTTCTGGTAAATAAAACATGTAGATAGGTATATAGAACATGTGTAATAAGAACTATAACAATATGGTGGGAGGAGCAATGTTGGCGAGTAAGATGTTGGAGTGAGGGAGACTGGCTGGTTGTGGCTGCTCTCACTCGAGGTGTTCTGAATGTGTTCATGACCAAATGCTCCTATTGGCCCATACGAGGCAGCTGCTATTGGCCCTTACGAGGCAGCTGCTATTGGCCCATACGAGGCAGCTGCTATTGGCCCATACATAAGAACATAAGAACATAAGAACAAAGGTAACTGCAGAAGGCCTATTGGCCCATACGAGGCAGCTCCTATTCTATAACCACCCAATCCCACTCATATACTTGTCCAACCCGTGCTTGAAACAATCGAGGGACCCCACCTCCACAATGTTACGCGGCAATTGGTTCCACAAATCAACAACCCTGTTACTGAACCAGTATTTACCCAAGTCTTTCCTAAATCTAAACTTATCCAATTTATATCCAAACGGGGCAGCTGCTATTGGCCCATACGGGGCAGCTGCTATTGGCCCATACGGGGCAGCTGCTATTGGCCCATACGGGGCAGCTGCTATTGGCCCATACGGGGCAGCTGCTATTGGCCCATACGAGGCAGCTGCTATTGGCCCATACGAGGCAGCTGCTATTGGCCCATACGAGGCAGCTGCTATTGGTCCATACGAGGCAGCTGCTATTGGCCCATACGGGGCAGCTGCTATTGGCCCATACGGGGCAGCTGCTATTGGCCCATACGAGGCAGCTGCTATTGGCCCATACGAGGCAGCTGCTATTGGCCCATACGGGGTAGCTGCTATTGGCCCATACGAGGCAGCTGCTATTGGCCCATACAAGGCAGCTGCTATTGGCCCATACGAAGCAGCTGCTATGCGGTGTTCTGAATGTGTTGATGGTGAATGTATATAGTGTGTGACAGTGTATAGTGTGTAAATAGATTGTATATATACACATATTAGCATGATACATAGTAAATATGTACTGCATATGTGTACACAAGTTTCATGCACGTAACACAGTGTCTACGGACAGTACGGATGTTGTACTGCGATATTATAGTGTACGTGTTCATTATACATTGGATTGGCACATAAAAACAATGAAAATGTATTTGGAAAGGTGCGCAAAAAATGAACGAAAATATATTCGCAGCAACTCGCTCGCCCTGCCCCGGGCGCCCCACCGCCCCCGAGAGCTTATGGCACATGCGCACGGGGAATGATGACGTCACGCCCCAACTTCCAGACCCCATAGCAGCCAAAGTAAGTACTATTTCGACTTTTTTTTTTTACATACCCATACTGAGGGAAGGGTTTTTGACACTTTAAAAAGAAAAAAGAATTTTTTCCAGAAGAATTTATTTCCTGCGCACTGCGGGGGTGTCACATTTGGCGGCAACGCAGTTAAGGGGTTAAGGAGTACTAATAATTTAGATGTTTTATTGAGTGGATTCTAGCAGTAAATGAGCTTTGCACTCTCTCCAGGTCAGCAATTTCTGCAGCTTTGAATGAGGCTGTTAGTGTGCAACAACATTCCTGTCTAGAAAACACCAGTGTCTTCAAAAGCATCATCACTATTGTGGCATCTCTTCTTTGAAAGACAAAAGGTGAAACCTTTGAAATTTTCATGTTGTGTTGTCCTTCCTTATTGTGGAGCCATCTTTGTTGTTGATACTGCTTATGTATTGAAATAACTTTACCTATTAAAATTTTTTACTTACTTTTGCATATTTGTTGAATCTCGGATATTATTCAAATTACCAATACAGTGCCTTCATGTTCCCTGGGACACAATTCATGGTCCTCAACATGTTTCACAACACAGTACTTACATAAATTAATACAGTAACTAGAAGAATGCAACAAACCTTTAAAAAAGTGAACCTCTTGAATATTTGGAACCAGAAACCTTAGCTGTCAGTGAAGTTTGGTTTTCTCTTCTCAACAAATGCAGTCATACCTTCACTACGATCATTCTGGAAGAAAAATAAAAGTAACTAATTCAAGAAATTACAATTATTTTGCAATGACATTTAAATTAGTTTATGACAGCTTACCACAATGAAGATATCAATCCTTAAACCGCTCAATACATATATAGACGATGGGAATAACTTTACAGAAACGTCGTCGCGCCGCTGTGCAGCTCCTCCCCTCCCCAGGTGAGGGGGGGGGGGGAAGCTCCAGTCCCCCGCATCGGCTATCCACCTCTCAGGTCTAAGATTGATGCTAGAGGCAGAGGTTGTGTGCTCTGGCTCCAGTGATTTTTCAGCACTGTTTAGAGTGTGGTGGCTATCTTCTAGGGGGTACGAGAGCCAGGAATTATTCTACAGTACTCGGGCTGCATGCTCCTAGGGTTGCCTTCCCTAGGTGCCCTGTTAGTACTGCCCTTGGGACTACCTTCCACAGGTTGCTTGGGTCCTGCCTCTGCTGGGCTGTTTAACTGCATGGTTTTTCGGCCTCCCTTTTGGTGCTTGGATGATTTGTCTCCCTTGTTTACCTTAGGGTGAGAGGCAGCTTGCACTCGTACAAGGTGCAGGGTGCTGCGCAGCTTGTTTTCACCATTCATAGCGGCCGGCTCTGTTCCCTTGGGTGCGTTGTCCTCTTGCATTTTTTTTCTTTTTGTTTGTGCCTTGTGGGGGAGGTCTGCCTTGCTTGCCCCTTGGTATCTGACCTAATACGGTTTTCTTCTGGTGGTGCCCCCTGCTAGATCCCTGTGAGTGTACATGTCCCTGAGGTTCAGCTTTAGAATGTTGCTTGGTAGTTTTGGGTGCCGGTTAGCAGTACCCTGCCTGGGATTCCCTGAGCTTGAGTTCCATCTTAGGACCCTGGGAAACCCCACGGGGGCGCGTGGGTCTGATGGATGTGACCCCGGAGTTCCACCCTCGCTTCGTGCAAGTTCGAGGGTTGCTCGGTCCCCTTGTCTCAGGGTGACTCTGTTTTTGCCTGTCACGCTGCCTGTTAGGTCGGTGACACTTTCCACCCCGAGTCCTGCTGCTTGCTGGTGATTCAGTTTACCCAGTCTAATGATCATCTTCTACAGGTACAAGTGGGGCAGGCATTGCATGTGCACTTTGGGTTGTTGCAAAGCGCTCGGTTGGTTGCTCACCCGGATGCCCCGAGGCTGCCCCGTTTTGCTTATAGGGACCGGGACTTGGGGGTGGGGGTCATTTCGACCTTGGTTCAGCCTGCACCTTCCCTCGTCCTTTCCCCGTTGTGGTTCATCCCGGTCCCCCCACCCCCTCGCCCCTGCTTCTGGCCCCAAAGCGTCTGAGGGTTTTGGAGTTGGGGCAGGGTTTAGACGGTCTTGAGACTCGGGCAGTCATGGGGAATGTCCCTTCTGGTGTGGCGAAAGAGGCATTCGAGTCCCGATCTCCCTGCCGCAACCTCCGAGTCTGACCAGTGGACTCCCTTCCGTCCGGCTTACGCGGCTGCGCCGGCCTTTTCTTTAGAGGCCGGTGCTCTGGTGGATGACTCGGCCCCATGTCCTGTTGAGGAGGATCCTGGGGTGGGGGAGGGGCTGACTTGGAGGCCTTGGGCCCCGCTGGACCCCGCCTGGATTTTTCTGCCCTCTGAGCTAGGTTTATTGTTACAAGGAGTGGGGTTCTCTTTTCACCCCTCTGTGTACGAGTTGGATTTGGTGTCTGCCCCTCCCCGGGATCGGTTCCGTTTCCCCCCCAGGTGTGTTGGTTCTTTCTTCCCGGAGGTTTTCGGCTTACCACATCCTACTGTCTGCAGATCGGGCAGGCAGCCCTAGCGGCTTACCTCCTACGTGATCCGGATTATGCCTCGCTTATGGATCCGTCTTCTTTCAAGTTTGGGACGTCGTTCCCTTTCTGGGTCCGTTACGAGATTCTGGAGTTGTCCTGGCTGGCAGACTGTCCTGTTTGCTTTGGAGGCTTGGCATTCCTTCTGTCGTTCCCACACGTTTGAGTGGCGCGAGGCTTCGACGGTGGTTCAGGTTTTCCTGGGGGACGACCTTGAGCATCTCAATGAGTGCTTGTTTGCCCCTGCCCTTCTCTGGGATGCTGACATCATGCAGCTCCATGTGCAGGTTCCCTCCCTTTCGGCTGCGCACCTTACTGAGGACTTGCGCGCCTGTGGCCTCTTGGCTTCGGCCTTGCATTTCTTTTCTCTCCTGGAGCTGTCTTCGTACTGGCTTGCGGAGGAAGTGGGGGCGCTTGTGGCCGTTCCTGGGTTCGGTGCCTTGGGCTCGGCAGCTCGCTCGTTGGCTGCCTTGTTGAAGCTCTTTGCGCCGATCTTGCGGGATGCAGTTTCACTGTTTTATGCTTCCCGGCTTGCGTGTCGTGTCGGCAAGTGGTGCTTGCCTCCTCTTTGGAATTGGCCTGGGCCCTGGCTCTTAGGATGTCTTTGCCGTTTTGTCCACTGCTTTTTGAGGATTCTGCCGTGGAGCAGTATATACAGGCTGCTTTGGCTACTTGTCACCCTATGTCTGACATGTTGGTTGTTCCGGGGTCCTTGGGGGACGTTCCCGGAGGGGTTGTGCCAGGGCTCGGGGTTCCTCTCATCACGGAAGGCCACGAGTGCCAGTTTTGGGTCCGGCGCCATCTTCGGACTCGCCTTCGTCTGGTCGGTGCGGTGGTCGCTCTGTGCGAGGTTCTGGGTCTCGTAAGGGGCACCGGCCTTTTAGCGGTTTACTACATTGACGGAGCGATGGGGGAGAGGCTTGTGCTGCTCACTCACTCCTGGTCCCACGATTTGTGGGCATTTCATGTCGTTTCTTTCAGCCTGAGGTGGCACTGGGTGGCCCCTCCTCCTTTGGGGGGTTCGGGGCCAGCGAGGCAGGCCTCTTCTCCTGTGCTCTGTTGGGTCATCTGAGTGGGTTCGCTTGGGCGTGGTCGAAACAACAACGTCCTTCAGATGGGTTTCCAGTCTGTTCCCAGTACTGAAACGGGGATGTGTGGACCTGCAGTTCATTCTGGATTTGTCCCGCCTGAACCCCTGGTTTCATTGCCCCTCCTTTTCGGATGACTACGCTGTCCCAGGTTCGGCTTTGCCGGGCTCTTGGATGGTGTCCCTGGACCTCTGGGACGCTTATTGGCCCATCCCGATTCATCCGGGGTTCAGGGACTGGCTAGGTTTTGTTGTGGGGCGTCAGAGTTACCGCTTTCGTTGTCTCCCGTTTGGGTTGAACCTGGGACCTCGCATGTTCATACGCCTTACCCAGGGTCGTTGTGGCCCGTCTGCATCTCTTAGGTGTTCAGGTGTTGGCCTACCTCGACAACTGGCTGGTTTGGGCTCCCAGCCAGTCCTCTTGTCTGCTAGCCAGGGACTTGGTTCTTTCCCAGCTCGCCGGGTTCGGGTCCCTGGTGAACTGGAGGAAGTCCCATCTGGTTCCCTCCCAGGCTCGAACCTGGCTGAGTCTTGTGTGGGACTCTCGGACCGCTTCCTCCTGAGTTTCTCCTACAGCTTCGGTCCCGCATGATACTGTTTCTGGGGGGGCTCCCGGGTCACCCGGTGGTTGCTCAAGGATCTGTGTGGGAGCCTGAACTTCGCGATGATGGTCTACCCACCGGGTTGGGTTTGGCTTCGTCGGCTGTTCTGGTTCCTTCAGGGACATCCCTTCCGCCTCTCTCGCGATAGCCGAGTTCGGCCCCTGGGGGCCTTGCGTCGGCTGCTGCATCGCCGGCTTCCTCTTCAGGTTTTTCGGGGTTCAATGCTTTAGCGCCTGCCTGAGCCCTCGCTCGATGTGTTCACGGACGCGTCGTCTCTTGGCTGGGGTTTTGTGACCAATGCTCACCAGGCCGGCCAGGGATGGTGGTGTCCGTCCTTCTGTCGAGCCCACAGCATACGGTGCGGGAGTTCGCGGCGGTGTAGTTTGCTCTTCGGAGGCTTCAGGTCGCCCATGGATCGACAATCTGGGTCCATTAGGACTACTCCCCAGTGGTTCATTGCCTGAACCAGGGGGATTCGATGGGGTCCTTGGCTTTTTGGCGCTAGTCGCTTCGGGTGACTTGTCTGCCGAGTTCTCGGGGTTTGGCTCTCCTGGCTGTTCATGTGCGGGGAGTGTCAACGTCTTGGCTGACGGCCTGTCTCGTTTCGTTCCCCTGTCTACGGAATGGACGGTCAACACCGACTCCTTCCGTTGGCTTTGCCAGACGTTCGGGCGCCCCGAGGTGAACCTCTTCGCATCGGCATGGTCGTGGCGCCTTCCTTCTGTATGTGGCTCCCTTCCCCAATTGCGAGGCCGTCAAGGTCGATGTCTTTCGGCAGGACTGGTTGAGGTTGTCGTTCCTGTACCTCTTTCTCCCGGTTCAGCTGTTGCTCCAGGTCCTGACTCACTTGGAGACTTACCAGGGGAGAGTAGTCCTCTTGGCCCTGTGGTGGCCGACCCAGCCGTGGTTTCGGGCGCTGCTTGTCCTAACCCGGAGGTTTTTCCATGGCTCCGTCTTTTCCAGTAGATCGGACCAGAGCGTCACATGGCTGGTTCGATCTTCTCCTCGAGTCTTCACATATGGTATTTTATATTCAGGTTTATCATCATCTGTATGGTGATCAGGTGGCTTCCTTATTAGTGTCCCACCTGCGGGCTTCTTCTCGGCGGCAGTATGAAGTTCCCTGGCGGTCCTTCCGGTTCTTTTTGCGTCTTCGTTGTTGTGCTTTACTGTCTGTTAGGGTGGTGGTGTCCTTTCTCTCTTGGTTGTTCCATGGCGGTCATCTAATGCCTAACACTGTCGCCTCGAATCATGCGGCGCTGGCAAAGCTGCTTCAGCTTGCTTTTGATATTGATGTTATGTCTGCACCATTACACTAGCTGTCTCGTGCATTGTTTTCACCTCCGGCCTGCTCATGCACCGCCTGAGCCGTCCTGGTCATCGGACAGAATGCTCTCTTTTTCTTTCTTCTCTGAGGTTTGTTGTCGCCCCTTTGTTTCGGGATTGTTTCTCGAAGACTCTTTTTCTGTTCGCATTGGCCTCTGGGGGTCAGGTTGGTGAGCTTCATGCTCTCCTCCAGC